CCCAGTGAGCGCAGTTGATGATATTGAGGGATGGATCTTCCCTAGACATGGATCTTGTCCGAAGTATTTATACCTGGAGATGGATCTTCTCCACAGGGCTGGAATAGCCTTCCTCGGTACTGGATGACTGCGGTCAATGATATATATATTCCGGGATGGATCTTCCCTAGGCCGGATGGCCATATACAGTACCGAGTGGTTGAGCACTTCTGAGTGGAGGTATACGGAACATTGATCATGCTATATGTGCACTGGTACATAGAGATTTCCTGAGCTTATTACTCCGTACTGTTCAGACTGCATTTATTTACTATTGAGTTTTTGCCTGAACTGCAAGCATGCCTACTTTTCTGTACAGTTAAATGATATTACCTGTTGAGGTTTGGTTCGTCACTACCTGTCAGTCCATAGTTTGGACTTGTTACTTACTGAGTTGGTGTACTCACGTTACCGCCTGCACCTTGTGTGCAGATCCTGGTATCTCGGGTCACGGTAGCGGTTGCTGATCATTTCAATGGTGGACTTTTTCTTGGAGATAGCGAGGTAGCTGCCTGGCGATCGCAGTCCCGCCTTCTCCTTCTTTATCTTCCTTTAGTGTATTGTGTTGGCTATTCTCAGACTATGTAAGTCTTGTTTTCTTTCGAACCGTTGTAGTATTTTGCTCATGACTTAATGACACCCGAGGTCAGGCTTGTATTTTCCGCTTGTTTTGATTTTTGCTTTATATCTTTTATCGGATTTCTGTTAAAAATATGGTTTTACTTAAGTTTTAAATGAAATATGAAGTATTTGGAAATAAGTTGGCTGGCCTAGTTTCACGATAGACGCCATCACGACCGGGTTATTTTTTTTGGGTCGTGACAATGACCTATCGGGTCATCACAACAAAGAACATAAAGCAATTGAAATTAATTGAGAACGTCAATTATTTAATAATTCCAAAACAATAATATTGTTATTTAATCCTGCATTTTCTTCCAAACAAAACAAAAAGAATTCTTATTAAGGTTTTCCAATGTGTTGCTTCATCTCATTTTATATAATTAGGAAATTAATAGTAGTAACTTTCCTTACTTTTGAATTACTTTCTGAATATCATAAAGTTCTGATTTAGAAAAGATCGATATAAACCTAAGTAAACGTCTCTGAAAGCTAATTAGATTAGTCCAATCGATTAGTTTCGGTTAGGGTTATCCCTCTAGTCCAATCGATTAGTTTCGATTAGGGGTATTTTATTCATAGGAAAAAAAAAGTACTAGCCGAATTAGTAGAATTTTGTTCAAACAATAGTGCTATAGGACACATTTGTCCATAAATTTTTTTTTTAAAAAAAATATATTTGTCCGTAAAATTTTGCAAATTTTTTAATAAATTCAAAAATAAAATTTTCAAAAACAAAAATATGGTTTTGATCACAGTTTCAAAATTTTCAAAAAAAAAAAAAAAAACCTTTTTTCCCCGCTCAAAGTTCAAGTGAAATATATGTCCAAAGACAATTTCAAATTCCAAATACTATTTTTCAACTTAACTCCAAATACTACTTTTTTTTAAAAAAAAAAAAAAAGAAAATTTTATGTCCAAACGCCTGCTAAAATTGCCAATCTTATGCCTATCACCCCTATAAATATTCAAGCTCTAAACTTTCATTTCTCAAACCAATTTGAGTAGCAAATTTTATTTTAGCCCAAAAATGGTTTTCCAAAATCATCTTTACTTCTTGTTTCCCTTTGTTTTTCTTCAACATTTTGCTTTATGTCAAGAACAAGTACTTAGATCAGCCTATTGGCTTTCTAGCTTTAATTTCTCAGCTTCTAAAATTGAAATCAAATATTTTACCCATATTTTTTGTGCATTTGCTGATATTAATCCCAAATATTTTCAAGTTTCTATTTCCTCATCAAATATATCACCATTTTCCACTTTCACAAAAATGTTCAACAAAAAAACCCTTCAATTAAAACCCTATTGTCAATTAAGGATTCTACTTTTGTCACTTTTTCTACCATGGCTAGTAATTCAACTTCTCGAAAAAAAATTCATCGATAACTTTAGCTAGATCTTTCAATTTCCATGGTTTAGATCTTTATTGGACTTACCGCAAATCGAATTCAGACATGATCAACTTAGAAATTCTTATAAATGAATGGCGATCCGCGATAATCTTGGAAGCTAAAACATCAAGTAAACATGCATTGTTACTAAGTGCAGCAGTTTATTACAAACCAAAAATTAATGCTACTTTGAATTACCCTTCAAAGTCATTAGCAAAAAGTCTAGATTGGATTAATCTAATGGCTTATAATTTCACTTCTCCTAATCTTTCGCGTGTAACGCGACCTCATGCTGCATTATTAGATCAAGATTCTGGAAAAAATTATTAGTGGATGTGCTCGAATTAAAGATTGGATTAAGTCTGGAATTCCCTCAAAGAAAATAGTTTTAGGGTTGCCATTTTCGGATATGCATAGAGATTATTGAGTAGGGAAAATCATGATTTAAATGCACCGGCTAGAGGACCTATTGGTGGTGGAGATGGATCAATGGGGTATAAAGAAATAAGTGAATTTTGTGTTAGGGCAACAACAACATTTGATGCTGATATTGTTGGGAATTATTGCTATTTGAGAACAACATGGATTAATTTTGATGAATTTAATACCGTTTTTACTAAGGTTGCTTTTGCTAAGAAGAATGGATTGTTTGGTTATTTTGCATGGTATGTTGGGGTGGATAATAAATGGACTCTTTCTCAAGAAGGTTAGTAAATTAATTCGTTTTTACGTTATCAGTACGATTTAATCTGTTGTAGTAGGTTGATTTTCTGTAGAAAGTTATTTACTTAATTATTTTTAATTATTTTAAATTATAATGTAAAAACACTTCACACAATCAGCATAAAAAATTTATATTCAATTACTATAAATTAATTATCTTATATTATAATGTAAAAACACTTCACACAATTGGCATAAAAAATTTAAATTCAATTACAATAAATTTTGGTTAGTTAAATTAATTTTCTTCTAATTTTATCCTTGTTATTTTGGCAGCATCGCAAGTTTGGGAAGCTTAGGTTGGATTTCTCTTTTTGGTTAAAGTTGGATTATTTGGCCTTGGGACAATCTTTATTGCAGTCAACTTTGACTAGGAGATTTGTTAAATAAATAAATAAAATAAAAACTTTGAATAGGAGAGATGATATTCATACTTCATATATAGTAGCTTGAATTTTTTTCTCTTTTTTATGTGATCCAAAAATTTCCACATATGCTACAATAAAAGCTATGTACTACACGTTTAGATTAAGCTTGTTATATTTTTGCTTCCACATTCAGAAATAAAATAAAATAATTTCAAAGGTCAGCCATGTCACACCTTCTTTGTTGGCCTGTTAAGAAGTCACATATTGAGAAGATGAAGGTAGCAGAAATGAGGATGTTGAGGTGGATGTGCGGGCATACTAGGATGGATAAGATTAGGAATGATGATATTCGGGAGAAGATGTGCGTGGCCCCCATTGATGACAAGATGCGGGAAGCGCGGCTCAGATGGTTCGGGCATGTTAAGAGGAGAATCCCAGATGCTCCGATAAGGAGGTGCGAACGGTTGGTTGTGGAGGGCACGAAAAGAGGTAGAGGGCGGCCTAAGAAGTATTGGGGGGAGGTGATCAGGCAGGATATGGCGAGTCTTCAGAATTCTGACGACATGGCACTTGATAGGAACATGTGGAGGTCGAGTATTAGGGTAGTAGGTTAGGAGGTAGTTGGGTCTTGCCTTATGTCATAACTTTGTGGGATTAGTTTGGTAGGATACTATTTCGCTTTCGCTGTGTATCTTTCTTCTGGATTTCATGTTGTTCCTATTTTTCCTATTTTCCTATTTTTCTTATTATTTCTGTGGTGTTACTGATTTTGTCTCCTTTTGTCATTTTGTCCTCTTGAATCGAGGGTCTTTCGGAAACAGCCTCTCTACTCCTTTCGGGTAGAGGTAAGGTCGGCGTACACACTACCCTCCCCAGACCCCACTAGTGAGATTTCACTGGATCGTTGTTGTTGTTGTTGTTGTTGTTCCTTATTTCTTTTTTTTGGAAAATTCTAAAGAAAATTAGCAATTGCTACCCTTCGGGTACGCACTGGGTAACTTGCTCACTATGCAATAGCCCACAAATCACACAGAAAATGTAAACCGCACTAGTAGGCAAGCCCGGTACGACGAGCTCTGACTGAGGAGGCAACTGGTGAGGGGTGTCGATCCCAGGTCTAGTCCTATGTATGAGAAACCACTTGCCCAACCAACTCAACCAACCATTACGGACATCTTTCTTATTTGTTGCTAATGATTTTTATGTGCATTTTTTACGGTTGAAATATGTGACTAACTCATCTAAAGCTTAAACTTGGGTCAATCACATGTAAACTCATTTTGATAATGAGTAACGACGATGACTAAACTCAAGACTTCTGTCTGATTTGAGATATTATATTTAAAAAGTAAAGTTTAGGCTTAATTCAAACTTAAAAGCTAGTGAAAATTAACCAAGATCGTATAAAAAGACAAAATAACCGTCTACCTGCATCTCAATTTATGTGATAATATTTAATTGGGTACGGAATTTAAGAACGAGAAATACGTTATCTAGGCAATTATTTGATCCATTAGTATTACCAGCTGCACTGTGTAATACTAGAAGTTTTATTGTGTGCCTCACACAACTGACATTAGTTGTGTGAGGCTCCTTTTTCTTTCACAAATTTGTGGATCCTAATCTTACACTTCTGGGTCCACAAAACGATGAGACAAAAAAGATGCTTCATACAACTAGTGTCAATTGTATGAGACACAAAATAAAATTTTCCGTGTAATACTTTAGAAGAAATGGAAGTTGGACTTACCTAACTAAACCAATCAAACTAAAATACTGAATCCGCTAAAAATATAAGAATAGTGTAAAAAAGAAATGAATTGTAAAAAGTAACATATATCATCGCGCAACCAATTGTGTAATTGTTGCAGTGTCAACTTCTCCAATTTCCTGCACTGAGCCATTTGAATTACCAACTTCTTCATCTTCCCTTGTAGAAAATGCAGGCCTCTTTGGAGAATTCATAGCAAAATTCACATCCTTTAACAAATAAGAAACTTCTAACATTGTAGGCCTATCCAATGGATTTTTTTGGACACATAATAAAGAAATTTGCATGCATTTCAATAGTTTACAAGATGATGTTGTATCATCAAGTGATGGATCCATAAACTTCATGCCTTTACCATCTCTCCACATCTCATATGCCTGGATTATAAAAGAAAAAGATAAAATAAATTTAATTAATTAATACAATAACAACATATCCAATATATTTTTACAAGTGGGGTGTGGGAAGGATAGTGTATACACAGACCTTACCCTTACCTTGTGAAATAGAGAGATTGTTCACGATAGACTCTCTGCTCAAGTTTTTGACATATATACACTGGTAGCGTAAAATATTTTTATAGTATCAATATAATTTTATCTGTTCTACTAGATTACCTGTCGCATTTTTTCAAGTTACAAATCATACTTAACTAATATGGATGTGGTTACCTGTTGATCTCTTTTACATGACATGATCGTATAAAAAATTCTATATATTGTCAGCATATGAAAGTTAAGCTCTTAATTAAATGGCTTTATATGTTATACATTGATAGAGTATAATTATTTTTACTTCATTAGTTCATCTAAAACATAGCTATATTTAATTAATACAGGATCAGTAAACTAGAATATAAAACAGACAACTTGCGAAAAATTAGTTAAATTATGCTGATAGTGTAAAATTCTTTTATAATATCAGTGTAAATAAGTTAAACCCTAATTAAATACTTGTAAAAACATATATTGAAGTTATATATAATCACAACTTACGTATTCAAGAAGGTTTAAATTTTCATCTGGACCATGTATTCTTCTTCCCACTTATGATTTGGAGAAGAAGTACTCCAAAACTGAAAATATCAGATTTTGTTGAATAGATGCCTTGTTCCACATATTCAGGTGGAATATAACCCCTGCAACTCATTGAAAATGAATGTGGTAATTAAGAATATAATCATAATTCATAACACTACCACAAAAAAAAAAAAAAAAAAAAAAAAAAAAAAAACTAGAATTAGTTACGAACTTCATCGCTTATCTGTTGCTAAATCGCTCATAGCTAACATAACTTTTTGATAATCTATCACTAATCCATTGCTAAATAGAATTAGCGATAAATTTATCTATTTAGCTACAGAATTTGACCGTCGCTAATTTTTTTTTTTTTTTTTAACAGTGTAAGAATACTTTGCTAAGAGATACATATGAATAAATAAGTCTAACTAATATGCACCTACAAATTTAAGAAATTTTATACAATATCAAATCACCCAAAATATATTTATAGTAACTTTTCATAAAAAAAAAGGGAATTTGTTTCTTGAAACTAAGTCAGGTTGCTTGTACGACAAATAAATTTACTATTAAAAAAATAGGAATTAGCGACAGAAAAACTCAGTAGCTAATTCTATTTAATTATGGATTAACGACAGTTTATTCAAGAAATTATATTAGTTACGAGCAATTTAGCAAAAGATTAGCGATGAAGTTCATCGCTATTTTTATTTTTTTTGTAGTGTTAAATATAACTTAATATTATAACTTACATTGTTCCAACTACTCGTAGGGTATTTGCTTCAACTTCATCCTTCTTAAATATTCTTGCCATTCCAAAGTCAGAAATCTTTGGTTTCATATCTATATCCAATAAAATATTGCTGGCTTTCAAATCTCCATGAATAATTGTTAATCTTGAGTATTCTTGGAGATATAGGAGCCCTTGAATAATTCCTTCAATTACTTGCACTCGTTTTTCCCAATTTAGAAGTAATCTTCTGACTTGATCTATACATGAAAAATCAACTTGATGTGAAAAAAATTAGAATAATGCATGGGAAAAAGAATTTCTTATTAGTAAAGTAAAAAATTAGTAACAATATTAGTTGATGTATACTACTTTCCCGCTCCTTCGTTTTATGTGGCATAGTTTGACTTGACGTACGTAGAATTTAAGAAAAAACAAAGACTTTTAAAACTAATAGTCATAAATATTTCATAATATTTTTGTGGCTATATAAATATATATTATTATGATGAGTTTAAAATTATATTGAAATGTGTCATTTTTTTTAAAAAAGCTATAAAAGAAAAAGTGTCACATAAAATAAAAGAAAAATGACACTGTATAGCTGCTGTAAAAATAATAGCTGAAAAATTATATAAAATTTGTATATATATTTTTTTTGTATATATATACATTATGCATGTTATATACAAAAATTATACAAGTTTTATATACTTTTTCGGCTACCGAATATAAATAGTTTCTAGCGCAGGCTAAAAGTGATAATATAGAGTGTAACACTTATATCCGCTAACAACTTAACAATATTACGCACAGGCATGTCGACGAAGTGATGTCTGCCTCAACTGTTTCACTCGCACTTCTAATATAGCAGAAATATAAAAAAAAATAAAAAAAAAATAAAAAGGAATAACTTACTATAAATGTAGTAGTCCAAGCTCTTGTTGGGCATGTATTCGTAGATCAACATCTTCTTTTTTCTTTCAATGCAAAAACCCACGACTTTTACAAGATTTATATGTTGTAATTTTGCTGTAAGGATCACTTCATTTTCAAACTCTTCCAATCCTTGAGTAGAGGTTTCTGAGAGCCTTTTCACAGCTATTTCTTGCCCATTTCTCAACTTTCCCTAATTCGATTAATAAAATATCCTTTGACATTTTTAATAAATATTGATAAATGTATTCATGAAGACAATTTGGAAATCATCTACTATAGGAAAAAAAAAAACAAGTAAAAGTTTATTTGCTCACTAGAAAGTCACAATTGTGTGTGAAGGATAATTAATAAACTACCTCTAAGATTACTGGATAGCAACAACATACAGAGGCGGACCTAAGATTTGAACATGATATGAACCATTGTCGAATAAAAATTTGAGCAAATGCTAAAGTCAGAATCGAACCCAGGCAGCACACTGAAAGTCAAGGTGTGCCCCCAAATCGACCGACGCACCTGCCTAAGATTTGAATCTTAGGATACCATTCAAAATATATACTACCTATTATTTAAGATATATACACATCTATAAATATATGACTTACCCCAAGGCTCCCTTAAAAAAAACTACTACTACTAACCTGTACGAGAGAGTACCCAATTTTGATCCCCTGCAACGTGCCATGCATAGTAACCAAGCAATCCTCTACCTTAACCATAATTAACCTTATCTCTAACACTTTGTGTATCATCATAGCTAATCAAATTATTTCCAGAGTAACAATAATCTCCAACAATGGTACCATTATACACAGCCGTGGCGCGGCTCTGCAATATATAATCCTTAATTTGGTTATAAGTCATCGAGCCATCGTTGACCGCACCAACATTTGATTTTCCGGCAGCAGGCGCTCTGAGACCGTGAATATTCACGTTAACCAATCGCCACGCATAGACATAAAATGGAATTCCAAGTACCAATTTTCGTATTGGAACACCAGCTTGAATCCATGCATTAATTCCATCACTTCCACTGACATGGTTCACAGGATCAAATAATTGTGCATGTGAATTGGTTTGTGATGGTGACCAATTTGGTCCATAGAAATCATAGGCCATAAGGTTAATCCAGTCTAAGTTTCTTGCCAATGATTCAACTGGGTAGTTCAATCCGTTGACTCGGGGTGAGTAGGAAACCGCCGCCGTGAGAAGCAGTGCCACCCTGCCGGAATTTCTCACCTCCGTGTTGATAGCGGTGCGCCACTCGTTTAAAAGGGTACCTGTTTGATTGAGACATAGTTAAGTAAATAAAAGTGTACTCTTCAACAGTTTAATTTGTAAGGACCATATATATATATATATATATATATATATATATATATATTGAGAAAATATATGTTTGTAAATAGTACCTAAGTTTGTCATGTCTGTAGCTGATAATGGATATTCCCAATCAAGATCAAGGCCATGAAATCCCAATTGTCTAGCCAATCTTATTGATGAATCAATTAAACTTTTTCTTGAATTTGGTTGTCTAGCCATAATTCCATAGGCAGTTGAATTAGCTCTTCCTCCTGCTATAGACAAGAAAGTCTTGACTGAAGAATTTTTCCTTTGAACTGTACTTGTAAATTGCCTGAACGAATCTTGATTTTCCGGCGAAATGATTAACTGATTTGATTGTGGATTAAGATCAGCAAATGCACAAAAAAGATGAGTGAAAAGAGTTGAATCTATGTTGTTTAATGCTAATCCACTGTCCCTAAACCAGTACCCTCCCTTAATAACATTTTGGCCATTTGTGAAAACTAGTTGCTGAAGGAGGAAAAATGAGAAAATAATGGAGAAGAGAGTTACAGAATTAGCCATTAAATTGAAGGTTGATAGCTTATTTAATTTGTGACCCCGAGATTATATAAGTTTTGAAGATTTGAGTTTACTGTCTACCGGCGGCTTTAATTTGCTAAACATTTACTACTCCATTAGAAAGTGGTTGAATCTCTGGATGTTTCTAAAAAGAGAAAAGGTCAAAAATCTCTTGATCTATATATATTCTTGCGGTTAGCAAATTGTCCTGTATTTGTTCTTGTTACAAGGGGAACTAAGGCTGTATTGTGTGGTTTGGGCCCAGCCCGGGACCGGCCCAGGCCCGCGAGCCCACATAGGCTTTAGGCTAGACGGGCTGGCCCGTATGGTCCGGGCCCAAGTGGTCCTAGGAGCCCACTGTGGGCCGGTCCAGCATGGAGAGACCGCGAGCCTGGGACCGTTTAGTCCGGGACCGGCTGGCGGGCCTGGGCCGGTTCAACCCGGCCAACGGGCCCAACGGCTGCTTTTCAAAAAAAAAAATTTAAAATTGGCCAACGGTTGGAAGTTTAAAAACTAGCCGTTGGCCTGCCAATTTAGCCGTTTGGCTTTTTAAAAAATAGTCATTTGCCCCCCAAACTTTGTTTTAGCCCCAAACTTTTTATAATTACACTTTTTTCCTATTCTCAACTATAAATACCCCCTCATTCTTTCATTTTTAATCACAAAATCATCAATCTCTCTAATTTTCTTCTATAATTGCTTACTTTATTATTGCAATTTGTGAAAAATTGTGAAGTTGGTGAATTGAAGTATTCAAATCTTCAAGTCTTCAACGATATACAATTTTCAAGAAGTTGTTCGTCAATTCGGTAAACGCGTTCCAACTCTTAAGTTTTAATATTATAGTTTTGTTTGTTTTAGTTTGTACAATTATAATTAATATGGGCTTTTCTTAAAAAAAAATGTTTGGTGGTAAGGGAAAATCTAAAATTGGTGAATCTAGTGGCCAAGCTACTACTCCTCCCCCGGCTCCCCGACCCAGACATGTTACCCGTCCTCCTCCACCTGTTATTCTTGATAGTTGTTTGACTCAAAAGATGTTAAACTCTTTTTAAGCAAATCAATCAAAGAGATTAAGGGGTAAATCGTAGTCGAAGATAATAAACCCTAAGATCGTTTCAATAATCGAAACAGTAACAATGATAAAAGAGAGAGAGAGAGAGAGAGAATGATGCAGAGAGAAAAATCGGAAAGAGAGAATCAGTTTTTCTATTATCAGTTGTCTGCCTATTACAAGGCCCGGATCCCCTTTATATAATAGGGGATCTAAGCTGAGTCAAGAGAACGACAAAATTAGTGTACTCTGTGGCGGAGCCGACGACGGGTCGAGGTCGTTCCTCCTCTTACCCCTGGGTCGTCCCTTCGTATTGTATCGTAAACATTCAGTGGTGGGTCATGTTGACGGTAGGACGTGATTGGTCAAAATCGACCCCATACAGTTAGTCCCTCCGCTTGTCGGGGTCGTAACGAGATGCGTCCTCGATGGGCGGAATCAACGTATCCGTTAGGGAGAGTTTGACTTGTTGACTTGATTCGACGTGACTGGTGGGGGACGGCAATCATCCCTGTCACAGCGTTGAAGTAAAACACTCTACCTTGGATGACGTCAGCGTCCGCATATGTCATCATTATGCATATTCTCGAGGTGGAAGAGAACTGACAATTTGGCACTTGGTTTCCCACGTCGATTTGAAATCTGACGCCTCGATTCTGGCGCCACCCAACCTTATAAATAGGGGAAGGGTTTAATTTTGTTGAAGAACTTTGGTCATTCCTGAGAACTTTCCCAGCCCTCCTCTATTGATTTTCGCGTTCCTGCACATTTCGTTCGTGTCCAGGGATCTTTCTTCTTCTTCATTTCTTTTCGCGTGATCCTTTTCGAATGAAAATATGCCCAAATCTCGCCGTACCAAAGAAAGGGTTCCTGAGGTAGCTCCGTTGAATGTGTCGCCCTCCTCCGACGGTGGGGAGGTGGAAGTGGAAGAGGATGTCAGTCCTCTGAAGGTAGAAGCTTTGTTGCCGAGGCACTCTTCGCCTCGGTGTGATTTCAACAAGGATTCCGCGGTTCCGGTTCCGGTGCGTTCTGAGACGGGACAGAACCACTTGGACGACCTCCGCGCAAAATACGGCATTCTATCTTACGTAGAGATGGTTCCGGCGGGGGAGGATCACGTTGACGTTCACAGGCTGGCTATTGTGCCTTCTATGAGTACCCCTTCTTGATAGGCTACGGTCTTCCCCTTTTTCCTTTGGCGGAGGAATTCTGCAGATTCTATCACATCTGCCCGGCTCAGTTCACGCCGTACACGCTTAAGGTGCTCCTGCTACTGACTAAATATGCAGCGTTGGCCGGATATGATATCTCCGTTCATCATCTCTTGCACTTATTTACAGCCGGTTTCCTTAGAGGGACCATGGTGCACTTAAGGATTCGTGGTACAAAGGGGTTGGTGGTTGGAACCGATGACCGGCCGAGCCGTAAATTCTGGCACAAATATTTCTTCGTCAGGACCGAGCATATGGTCTCCAACCCTACCGGATTTCCAGAAAGATGGAACAAAACACGTAGGTGCTGTAGTTCATCAAGTTCTCTGTTGCATGTTGTTATCGCAATTCTAACTTTTATATTACAGCTATGGCCCGTCCGCCCCAGCCCTTTGCCGGTCTAAGGAGCTGGGTCGCCGGCCTGCTTCCTCACACGGAGGAAACCCAAACTTGGTCTGCATTCACGCAACGTTACGGCCCTCAAGTTTCTTCAGGTAAACTTCGGATTTTTCTTTGTCGGTTAGATGACCTTGCCTAACCGTGATTTTGTGGTCATAGTCGAGGTGCTTCTAGGAAGAAGGCGACAATCCCTGCTTTCGTGCGTCCTACTACCGCTGCGGACGCTCGAGATACTCTATGCGAGTCTATTCGGGAGGGTCGTTCTCTTACACCTCATCAGGGAGATGCGCCCACGGCTGTGGCTATAAGGGAGCCGACTTTGTTGACATCGGCCCCACAACCTGCCGACGAATCTTCTCATGGTGAGGAGCCGCCAGAAAGAAAAAGGAGAAGACTAGAGATGGGAAAAGGGGTGGCTACTGAAGCCGATGATGGTGGAACATCTCGGGCGGCCCCGGCGCCCATGTTTATGGCCGATTCTATCCGATCGGGGAGGCCGGTACGTGAGGAAAGGGTCAGCCCAGGGGTTAGTTTGGTGCGCCCCGCTGAGGGGGGTTCGTCGACTAACGTCGGTGTGCCTGACGTGTAAGCCAATGAGTCGGGTTCCGATGTTGCCCCTGAGGACGTGAACGAGTTTTTGGGTTGTCACACCCGTGTGGAGGCGGCGACGGATGGATCTGACCGTCATATAACAATCCCTAGGGATTGCAACTTGCTGCTGAATAGCGAGCAGGTCGCATCGTCGCTTACCCTGTTGTGTGCCTCCCCCGAGAGTGGGATGCTCAGGGCGATGAACGATATGGAGCTGTCTCGGAAGGTTGCCGGCATGGCTTTACAGGTAGTTTTCATCACCTTACTACTTTTTTCTTTGCTTATTGTAGAATGGGTATCGAAATATGCTTACTCTTGTTTTTTCTTCCCAGACCCTCGTCCTGGAGGTGGAGAGGGACCGTCGTGAGCGGAAGAGGACGGACCTTTATAAGAAGGTGTTGAGGAAGTATCGAAAATGTCGTGCTAAGCATCAAGCGGCGGCTGATCTCTGCCGACAGGACCCCGAGTTCCAAGTGTTCCGCGAGGGGCTTAAGGAGAGGGAGGCCCAATTAGAACGTAGGGGGGCGGAACTGGAGGAGACGGATAGGGAGCTAGTGAGGGTCGTTGCTCGTAATAGTGAGCTGGAGGCTCTCCTCAGGGCGAAGGATGATGAACTCGAATTGAATTGAGGGGTGGCTGCAGAGAATGCCGACTTGCAGTAGAGGGTAGTTAGTCTGACCGCCAAGCTTGGTGTTAGAATGGCGGAAATCGACAGACTTAAGGGCGAGCTGAGTGCTGATGCCGACAAATTGACCGCGCTGCAGAGGCAAGTCGCCCCTCCGAGGTCTGAGGAAGCGGAATACCATTCTCGGCCCTCCTCGTCTCGTCCCCCATCTGGTCAGGGCCCGTATCGTAGCGCCCATGAGATGTGGGTCTATGTAGAGGCACGACTTGATATATACAGAGCTTTACACGCAGAGGGTCGAGCGAAGGAGGCGGAGGTTCAGGTGGTGCGAAATGAAGCACGCACAGCTCGTGAATCGTGTAGGTATTACCCCGACTCTCCCGATGGGGAGGATGTTGCTTCCGAGGATGTCGATCGCCTTGACTCAGACTCGTGGTATGAGGACGTTTATCCCACAAGGGGGTGGTAGTTAGTTTAAGCTTGTATATTTTTGCTTCCGCATCTTCTTTTGGCTGTGGGGTGTACCAAAGTCTGTCCATGAGGACGAATGTAAATAAATTTTTGTCGTAATATAAACTTTTGTTTTTGTCGCTTCGTCTGTTTGTTGCTTCTCCCTTTTTGTTGTTTGTTTTACACTTAATCTTCGATGATATTGCCTTTCAGAAGATGTCGTGGTTCGAACGAGATCGAACTGATGTCGATGGCCTTTAGCCGTTAGGATGTTGCTTCGACTATCGTTGAAGTAGTATCCCTCGTGGTTTGAACGAGGTCGAACCAATGTCGATGGCCTTAGCCGTTAGGAGGTTGCTTCGACTGTCGTCGAAGTAGCACCCGTCGTGGTTCGAACGAGTTCGAACTAATGTCGATGGCCTTAGCCGTTAGGACGTTGCTTCGACTGTCATCGAAGTAGCACCCGTCGTGGTTCGAACGAGGTCGAACCTATGTCGATGGCCTTAGCCGTTAGGAGGTTGCTTCGACTGTCGTCGAAGTAGCACCTGTCGTGGTTCGAACGAGGTCGAACCAATGTCGATGGCCTTAGCCGTTAGGAGGTTGCTTCGACTGTCGTCGAAGTAGCACCCGTCGTGGTTCGAACGAGGGCGAACCAATGTCGATGGCCTTAGCCGTTAAGACTTTGCTTCGGCTGTCATCGAAATATCCTTCGTGGTTCGAATGAGATCGAACC